TCAGGGCCTGGCCTCTGTTGCTCTGGTTCGTTCCACAATCAGCTGCTCCGGGTCTGGTCACTGCTGCTCCCGACCTAGTTGCTCTGGACTAGGCAGCTGCTGCTCCGGGCCTGGCCGCACCCAGCCTGGCAGCCGCTGCTCCGGGCCTGGCCACACCCGACCCGCCTGCTCCCCCGGGCCTGGCCGCTCCCAGCCTGGCCACTCCCGACCTGGATGCTCTGGGGTTGGCTACTGCTGTTCTGGGTCTGGCTGCTCCCACCCCGGCTGCTCTGGGCCCGGCTTCTCCGGGCCCGGCCACTCCGGGTTTGGGTGTTCCTGGACTGGCCACCCTGGGCTTGGCCGCCTCTGCCTCAGGCCTGGCTGCCACTGCCCCAGGTCTGGCTGCTCCAGTGCTGGCTGTTGATGCTCTGGTTCTGGCTGCTGCTGCTCTGGGGCCTGGCCGTTGCTGCTCCGGGCCTGGCTGCCACTGCCTTGTGCCTGGCCACTCTAGGCCTGGCCGCCGCTGTTCCAACATTCTGTCCTTTTTTTTTTCTTTTTTTTTGTAAAACACATTTATGTTGCAATGTTGGCTGGTGAGTTGAGTTCTGACTTAAGTCTTTGATTTTTCAGGAACTTCTTTGTATTCTTTCTTAAGTAATTTTACTATCTTTTGCTCTCACTTGATTTCTTCACATTGAGAACTTCTTTGGTTTCTTCCTCCTTGTCCTGGGAGCTCAGCAGGTTGGCCTGTGGCACCCCTTTGTTCTGCGAGGGCTCCTGCGCTGCTTCAGCCTGTTACTGGGGACGGCGATGCCCAGGAAGCAGCCCCCAGCCTTGGCTCCATTGCCCGTGCTCAGAGGTCGAAGGCTTAGGGGCACCCATGCCCCCAGGGGCCCCATCGCCTGCCTCCTTGCTGGTGCCCAGTTGGCCGGCGTCCGGCAGGGGCTCCCGCTCCCCACCACGTTCCCCCAGCCCGGAGTTTTTTTTTCTCCTTCCCGCTAGGGGAGTCCAGCATCAGAGTCAACAGACTGTCCTCTACGCGCAGTGTGCGCGAGTCCGGGGGCCTGGCCTTTCGCCGATCTCCCCAGACTCCACCTCACAGCCCCGTCTCCTTCTGCCTGAGCCTGAGTCCCCAGGGATTGGCCCAGAACTGGGGTTTGGAGCAGTCCGGACTGAGGCTCAGCACCGCCGGAGGCCTTGTTTCTTCTGGCTAGGGTAACCCAGCATCAGAGTCAACATTCAGTCCTCTGCGCGCGCATTGCACACGACTCCGGGGGCCCTGCTTTTTGCTGCTCTTCTTGGATTCAGCCTCACAGCCCCGTCTCCCCCTGCCGGAGCCTGGGTCCCCAGGGTCTGGCCCATAACTGGGGCTCAGCGCTGCCGGTTCGGGGGGCTCAGCGCTGCCGGTTCGGGGGTTCAGCCCAGGCTGGGGGTTTTATTTCCTTCCTGCTGTGGAACGCCAGGCAGCACCCAGCCCTTTCCTCCTCTCCGGCTGCGACCTCTCTGTGCGCGCGTGCGGGCTCGCAGCATGTCTCTGTACCTTAGGCTTTTTTTCAGCTCCTCTGATTTTCCTTCTGGTTTTCTCTTTCCTTCTTGTTGTAGAATTTTCAGTCAGTCGACTCTCTCATCGATATTTCTAACTCTCCCTCTCTCTCTTCCTCTCAGTGAAAAATCAACAAAATATATATTTTTTATTTTTTTATTTTTTTAAAATATATTTTATTGATTTTGTACAGAGAGGAAGGGAGAGAGATAGAGAGTCAGAAACATCGATGAGAGAGAGTCATCGATCAGCTGCCTCCTGCACAGTCCCTACTGGGGATATGCCCGCAACCAAGGTACATGCCCTTGACCGGAATCGAACCCGGGATTCCTCAGTCCCCAAGCCGACACTCTATCCATTGAGCCAAACCGGTTTTGGCTAAAATATATATTTTTTAAAAAAGCAAAGCGCTCTCTCTATTCCTAACAACATGAATTCTCACCATTCCCAAAACAGACTTAATTTTTATATTTCCCAGTGTCATCTAGACTGACCATATGATTCCTAAGGGTAACCTCAGTTTTTGAGATGAATTTATGTACCAAAGAAAAATCCCAATAAAAAGGAGTAAAATCTCAGACAGAAAAAAAAGTAAAGTAGAAAAACATCTTCTGATTAGAAAAGGCAATTAAGCCCTAGCTGGTTTGGCTCAGTGGATAGAGCATTAGCCTGTGTGCTGAGGGGTCCCAAGTTCAATTTCGGTCAAGAGCACATGTCTAAGTTGTGGGCTCAATGCCCGTAGGGGTTGTGCAGGAGACAGCCAATCAATGACTCTTTCTCATCATTGATGATATTCTCTCTCCCTCTCCCTTACTCTCTGTCTTTTCAGTTATATCTGAGTCGGGGCTGGCTGCCCTGCTAGCCTCCCCTTCGGCGTTCTCCTCCTCAGCACTGAGAGAAATGGGTGAAGAAGGGCCAGGCTGGGAGGGTGGAGGGGTTGCTTCGGGCGCTTTCTCAATCTTATTCCTTTTTTCAAAACGAAAACGGTCCAGGTTGAAAAGATTCATCCTGGCAGCAGCAGCAGCCACCACCACAGTCTTGCAGGCTCGGTGCGATGTAACAAAGGTTGGGGGGGGGGGGGGGAGAAAAGGAATAGTAACCGCTGGCGTGGGCGACGGGAGCCGGGGCGGGACTTTCCAAAATAGCATTGCTCAGTCTTAAGAGATGCTCTCTTCTCTATCTTGATTCGAAACCCATGAGGTTTATTTCTATCCCTGTGACTTTACATACCTTTTGTGTGTTGATTCCATATAGCTGTCTCTAATCGCCATCTTCTGCCTGAGCTCCAATGAAACCTCCTTTGGGATGTGTAATAGGCACCTCAAACTTTGTGCAAAACAGAACTCTTGGTTTTCCTCCCGTGAACCTGCTCCCCAAAAAGGAAGGTACCACTATTCTTCCAAGTATTCAAATCATTAATTTATTACTCCTTTTCACCTGCCACATGCTAATGGCTGTGCAAGCTGATTGGTTCTGCCTTCAAAAATATTTCCCAAACCACCAATCTTACAACTTCCAACATAGTCTCTATAGGATCAAGCCACATATCTTTCATGGACAACTTCAAAAGCTAGCTAACTGCTCTCCCAGCTTCCACCCTGGCCTCTTGCAGCCCTCCAATGGCTTTCTTCTGTACTTAGAATAAAATCCTAAATCTTTACCATGGCTTGTGTGCTCTCCTAGCTCTCATTGCTCTGGGTGCTTGTTCTTTTCTATTCACAGTGGTCTTTTCACCTTTCTGTAAGCTCATTCTTACCTCGGGGGCTTTATGTTTGAAACTCCCTTTATGTCTTTATGTCTGAAATGCCCTTTTCTAGATCTCTAAATGGCTCACTTTTTCTCATCTTTCAAGTATCTGCTCAAACATCACTTCCTCAGAGAGCCTTCCTAAAACACCCTAAAATAGGTTCCTCACCCTCCTTAACCCATGATTCCCTTAACCAGGTTTATTTCCTTCTCAGACGTTTTAGCTATTTGCTATTACATTATATATTTTTAATTCTCTAAAACTATAATTTAAACCCTTCCTAGGCAAGGATTTATCTACCTTGCTTATTATTGTACTAGAGGCTCAGCACACAAAATTATGCCTGGGTATGGTCCCTAGGCCTGGCCTGGGATCAGGGCCATCTTCCCCAGCTACTTGCAGCTGGTCCCATACCCCCCACCCATTGCCACCCACCCCCAGTTTCCCATTTGACATCTGGTGATAGGTGCCTGACAGCCAGGGGAAGGGACAGAGAGGTCGTTCACTGGCATTGCCCCTGCAGCAGGTGGCAATCAGGTGATCGGAGCCTACTGGCTGGAAAAAGGGACCAAGAAGGAGTCAGTGCACCTTATAGTTGTGACTGGTCCAGCAGTCATTCTGGTTGTTCTACGGTGAGGGTCAATTTGCATATTACCCTTTTATTATATAGAAATAGAGGCCTGGTACATGGATGGGGGCTAGCTGGCCTGCCCTGAAAGGAGCCCCTGATTGGGGTGGGGGGTCCTCTCTGAGGGGCAGTGCCAGCCTGGGCAAGGGCCCTGGGGTGGTGTGCAGGCTGGCCACACCTCCAGCTTTTGTCCGGAAGGACATCTAGAAGATGTCCAGTCTAATTAGCATATTACCCTTTTATTAGTATAGATTACTGGCATCTAGAATAGTGTCTAATTATGGAGTTCAAAAATATTTATTATATGAATAACCAACTGTGTAAAAAAGTAAAAAGTCCACTTAAAAAACTAAAGGAAAAATATCTGAGAAACCAAGATGGAAGCATAGGTAAACACTTGAACTTACTGCCTGGTATAACCACTTCAAAACTATACTAAAAGACAAAATGGACATCATCCAGAACCACAGAAAGGATTGCTAAGTGGAAATTCTACAATTAGAAGGGAAGAGAAAAGCACACTGAGACTCAGAGGAGTTGTGGAAGTAAAGGCAGAGGTACAGAGGTGCGCGCGTGGAGAGAGCTGGCAACTGAGGATATGCAGCCTTTTTCCCTCGACCCATGCACCACAGTTCAACTGCACGCTCTTGGTCAAGTTGTTTAACTCACCAAATCTCAGTTGCCACATAAGTAAAATGGAGACCATAATACCTTACTCAAGATAGAAAGTGTCTCCCATAATGCCCGGCATGTAGCAGGCAATGAGTGAATGGTAGTTCACTAACGGCAGTCTAATATCATCAGAAATGCTACCTCCTTGCTATTTGCGCTTCGAAGTTTGGTATGGCAGCCGCATCTCATTTCTTTCACAGTGAATGGCCTTGGTGCATCCCCAAAGCTGGGGGTCAGAGCACTGCTGGGTGGTGATGGTGCTATTAAAAAGCTTGGATCAGAAAAAGCAAATAAGCAGTCCTGCCCCAGGTTAGCCCAAGCTCGGATTTCCTTGTCTGAATGCATAATGATAGGAAGGGGGTTGTGTTACAAAGGGAGCTGTTTTTGTTTGTCATCCAGGCCCACTAATCTAAACATCTCTCACTTCTCAGGAATTATTTTAGGACCAGGAAGCAGCACTCTGTTTATTGAAAGAGTTACAGAAGAGGATGAAGGCGTCTATCATTGCAAAGCCACCAACCAGAAGGGGTCTGTGGAAAGTTCAGCATACCTCACCGTTCAAGGTAAACAGCTGCTTCAGAAAGCAACCAGAAACTGTTCAGACATCTATTTCCCTGTTTGTTTAACTTTTCACCTCCCAGTCTCCTGTTGCCCCTCCTGTCTGTGCCTTTCCCTGACCTCCTGCCATATCCCCTGTCCCTCTGGGAAAAGCCTGTCTAGTTACCCTTGGCAAGGCTGAGGTGAGCAGGACACTGGACGGCTATCCTTGAGAGCCATTTGAGCACAGTCTCTGTGGGGGAAGTAGTTCCTGGAAGAAAGGCCACTGCTGCCAGCATGATGACATTGACCCACAGAGAATGACAGGAGTGGCTACACCTGTGAGAAAGAAATCCAAGAAGGAAGACTGTGGGTGTAGATGGGAGGGAGGAGAGTACCACGCACTGGAAGTTGTTCATTTTTTTCATTTCCAACTCCCAAGAGTTAGACATATCTTGCACACTTTTCATAAGCTGGTTTTTAACAATTACAAAAAAAAAAAAAAAAAAGCAACTCATAATAAAAGACCACATAGACTTTAGATAGCTTGTTGAGCAGCAAAATCCAGAGTCCTAATCCTAAACTAGATTGTGGTCATGTGGCTTCCATTCAGAAAATAGTTTAGACCTCAATTTTAATTCTCTGATGCCAAGAATCACCCAAAACATATATAACAGTTACAGCATCATAAATTATTGAATTGGCACCTCTTAGATGTAACTACCTATGGCAAATTTAAGTTTTAAATGAAAAGATGGCATTTGTTCAGCAGCCTATTTCCAAATGAGCCCCAGTAGACTTCAGAATAGGTGTGTATTTTGAGGGTAGAAACTAGGATGAACGCAACATGCACCAGTTCTTCTGCCCTGAAAACTTCCAAAGCTTACAGATTGTAACTCTGAGAATTCAGACTCCTTTTAAAAAGAATATCAATCACCTTCATTTACAAGGAAACGATTCTAGAAAGTCTCCTGAAAAATCTGAAAGTATACTACCACAAACGTGTGCTTTCAGAAAAAGTCAAGGGTAGCATTCCCACATACTTTTGGTAATGGCCCTTTTTGTCTCCCAAATAATCCTTGTTTTAAAGTATTATTTCAACTTTTCTGCTTACATAGGAGGAAAACAATTTATTAAGTGTGAATCTCTCTTTATGAATTCCTTTTTCAAGGGACCATTTATTTATCCCTTAACAAGGACTCCAGATGTGATCCTCGGGGAGTAGCCATAGCGGGCCAGGGAGGGACCTCCATCTGAGAGAGGGGTAGCAGCAGAGAGCAAGGAAGACCCCTAATCCTCAGTCCAGAAGGTATTCCCCCATATCCTCGCAACAACCCTGCAAGATACACAGGACGGTTCTTACAAAACCCAGGGAAGAATCACATGACTAACCTAAATCCTGTAGCCAGGGAATGACAAATATGCAATGACTCACTCCAACCCTCCACATAGCTGCCTCCCCTCACCAGCTGTCTGTACCCACTTCTGTGTGAATGTGGTTAGCAATGGCTGTGAATGAAGCCTGGAGGTCTTTTGTCTGAACCCCTCCCAATTTCATCCAAATCCTCCTTCTCCCCCAGGCCAGTTTAGATGCTCTCTACCCTGTGATGTCCTCCAGGATGAAGAGCTGAGTCAGATGTTCTCTTCTCATTCTCTTCTCTGTCCCTCACACCATGGTTCCTGAGTCTTTAGTCATGCTCCTGTTATTCTGCATTTTATTATTATTTAGTCATTGATATGTTTTTCTTCCCTGCTGAATCATAAGCTGTGTCTGACGTGTCTTTATATCCCGTACCCATGCAGGAGACTAATATGTATTTAGTGCCTTTATGTGCAGGCACTTGATAAATTTATCCCATTATGGGTTACACACTTGATATACATATCTGTTAACTTCATAGAAGTCAAAAGAAGTAGTGTTATCTTCATTCTACAGATGGGAAGATGGAGTCTCGAAGAGTTAAATTAGTTGCTCAAAGTCACACAATAAATAGGTAGTGAGGTTGAGACTTGAGCATGTCTTTGGAAACTAGGTTTCCAACCTTCCTCCATTCTTCTCATTCCTGAAGTGCCTTAGGAACTTGTCTGCAAGGCCTTAGCATAAAATTGAGTTTTTAGACTCAGTTATTCTCTTATTCGGTTATATCTCTACCTGCTTTTAGCTTTCCTACACTGATTCCTTTTCCCACTAGTTATGCTTTCCTGAAAAATCAGACAGGAATACTGCTATCACCAATAAGTTCTCAAAGTTTTTATCAGCCTATTTGCTCTTGAGGAGTTTTTATCAGCCTATTTGCTCTTGAGGAAAGGGGAGATAATTTTCACTTGAATTGCCCACATCAGCTGCATTACAAATGTTCTGATCCCTATCACCTCTTGACATAATCTTAACCTCCCAAACAGCCTATCCACTTCTCTCAACCTCCTCTAATACACTCCCAATCTAGAGTGATCTTTTTAAATAAGAAATCATATGACGTGTTACTTCCCTGCTTCAAATCTTGCAATGGTTCCCAGTCTCCTTGTTCCCCTCATGCAGGCACATAGGCCCTCTGTAGGCTCCTTCTCATTCCCATCCCGTCTCCTTCCTGCACACCCCCACTCTGGCTGGGCTGCATTATTGTGATCCAGTGAACACACTGGGCTCCTCCAGTCTTCTGCCTTAACATGTTCTTTTCCTTTTGTCTGAACAGGCTTCCTTTCCATCTATTCTCCCCCTGGACAATCCATTCATCCTTTATAATTCACTTTGTCTACACCTGATTACTGATCACACCATGTACCTTTGATGCAATGCTTATCATTGCCTATCACTCACTTTTCTATCCCAGAACAGTTGATAAATGTTTGTTGGATTCATATATTTAGAAAACCACCACTGAATATCTGATAAAAGAAATACACCAGTATATTGTTTATGGCACTGAAAATAAGCCAAATTCAATGTGCATTAACTCAATGGCTTAATTATTTGCCCAGGATTATGCAGGATATGGAAGTGTAAGCTACCATCACCTAACCTCCATGGACTTTGAAGACCTAGTTGAAAGAAGAGTAAGGTGCACATGAAACAATTATGAACCAGGTCAATAAACATTTTGAGTGCCTCCTAAGGGTACAGTAGAAACACAATTTGTATAAAACAGACTACACAATGCTGCTAGTCAAGGCTAACGAAGTTCACAGAGGCAGAAAAGGATATGATGACCTGATCTCTAAAGGAAGCCTTGTCAGGTGCTAGACTGGCAAGGTGAATGAGCAGGAAGGAGACAGCAAGTTATGAGCAACTTTGGACCTTCTACATACTTTTCTTCTTTGGCAATAATGAAGTCTAAATAATAATTCTAGATATTTCCTATTGTCTAGTCCATTGAATTTTATGAGGAATCTGTAGTTTTGATTCATGACCTCTTTCCCCTAATGTGGCTTTAATTTTTAATATAACTTAGAAAAATTGTATAGTTTGCAACATAGCTATAGACACTATATACATCTATCCTTTTTTTTTTTTTTTTTTTTTTTTTACTGGTTATTAGCCCCAATTGCCATGCTATTTGAGTTCTTGTGTCTGCTTTTCATAATTTTTTTGCCTTCTCCCTTGCTCTCCTTTGTAACTGTTTTCTGCTTTAAAAGTGATGGCTATTTCCAAATTCTCTGTTTAAAAATTGTGGTTAGCTGAGGAAAGAGATTACCTGATCTGTAATCATCAAACCACACCTGAAACATTGTACCCATCTCTAAGCATAAATAAGTGGAACCATAATCCCAAGAGAGTAATAGTAAAACAGTGCAAGGAAATTAGGATGCTTAGTCTAAAAAGGAGACAACTTGGGCTGAAGCTATTGTTTTCTTCAAATACTTAAGGAACTTTCAGGCTAAGGAGACATTTGACTCCGTCTTCGATTCAATGAAAAATAGAACTCAGGAAGGGAGATGGTGAAATTTCAGGGATGCAGTTTAGCTCCATTTAAGGGTATCTGCCATTTTGAGTAGGAAAATTTTTTGAAAGTTGACATTAGGTGGATTTTATAAGTTAGAGGCAATCTTGAGTGAAAATGCTTTGGGCTCACTGAATAAAAATTTGATCCTTGGAGGCTGTTCAGAACAGTTGAATACAGCACCAGCTTAGTAGTTTTATCACTGAAATTAGATTCCTGCCCTAGAGTCTAAGGCATTATTCTTCTCACTCTGGTGGCTGTGAAATGTTCCCTGAATTTAGACTGATTTCCTGATATATGAAAATAGAACCTTCCCACTGACCTATCTTGTCAGGTGGAGTTTAGGAAATGAAACCAGGAGCATACGTTGTGTCTGTGGCTATGTTTAACAGATTTAAAGAGGTTCATGAATTAGCCAGGAAGGAAACTGTCTGCTCTTTTTATTTCCTTTAAAAAAGGATTCTTATACTCATAGATAAAGCAGTGTGTTGTTTTGTATCTGAAAGGGCTGAGTGGACTGTGGAGATAATACAGCTTCTTTAAGTAACGTTGGGTCTTTTTTGGTTTGGACTGCACACGAGCACACGTGGAGCTCTCAAAGGGAACAGTCTCGTATTAAAACAATAACAAAACTGTCACCGACCAAAATAATTTCTGAAATTAACATAGCATTCAATAGCCCATGGAACTCAATGGGACTGTTACAATAAAAGTGTGGCACATTTTTATCCAAGGACCTCAGATAAACTATATTTTATAATTATTATTGGAAGTAATAATCATAATATATAGAAATACATTCTTATAACAGAGTCAGGCCTTGCTATTGAAATAGTATTTATAATACACAGGAGAAAACAACTTGAAGAATAACTACAATTTAAACATTTTTTTTGAAGATGATTGATGATACAAAATCATGGCCAGCACAGAAGGATTGCCTCAGGTTTTTGCAGTATCACCACTTGTAATGACATGAAAGGTGTGATTTGCAAATTTTGTGCCACATTAATTGTACATTAACACATTTCAGGGAAGGCCTCACACAGCAGGAATTATATACTGTGTTTCATAAATTTCCAAGAGCA